GGCTTGAGATCTTCTTCTCATATCTTCATTCAAGACACCACTCTTAGTATATTTCATGGTTACAACACCACTGGGAGTAGAATTAGTCAAAGAAACTCGAAGAGTTTCCCAAGAGTCTGGCAGAGTATTAAGAAGCCAAAGTCCCTGTATATCATCATCAAACTTTACACCCATTTCGGACAGCTGGTCAAGAAAACCCTGAAAATCATTAATATGATCAGAAATAGGAGTGCCCTCTTTATATCTGATATTCATTAATTGTTTCAATAGGAAACACTTGTTGTTGCCAGTCTTCGAAGCATAAAGTGTCTCGAGCTTGTCCCACAAACTTTTGGCATGTGTCTAATTCACAATATGATTTCTAACAATCTTCAACCCATTGTCTAATATAGCCACAAACTTGCAGATGCTCAAATTTCCATTTTTCATCATTCAAAGACTGAGGTTTATTAGAAGCAAACACAGATAAATGCATCTTCTTGACAAATAGAAGATCTTTCATCTTGCCTTTCCAAATATGATAGTTACTACCATTTAAACACACCATTTTGATCATATTTGCCTCCATCATTCAAAAAAACGACAATCAACAATAATCAATGCTCTGATACCACTTTGTTGGGAAAGACAAGACACTAACAAAGAATGCCTGACAGGATAACAGTGGAAGAATACCCAAGTCTATACTTTCCCTTATCGTTTTGAACCAAGAGAAAACAAACAACCACAAGCAATATGATAGTAAGGCAGCAAGTAATTCAACCAAATAAATATAACAAGGCAATAATAAACCAATCACACAAGACACCAAGATTTACGTGAAAAACCCTTCGATGTGAAGAGTACAAAACCACGGGACCAAAAGCTCCACTATAATCACAAAGAGTTACAATATTTTTATATAAAATTGGCCACAAAACAAGTGTCAAACAACGAGCAACAACAAAATAAGATTGCACCAAATCTAGAGAATTAAAGGAGCAAAATCACCAATTTCGCAGCTACTATTCACGACAGCAAAACTGAAGCTGCAGGCTACCAAATCCAACTCTGTCAATTCCTAATCAAAGATTCAGATGAAGATAATATGCTGTCCAAAAATTCGCTCAATCGGACAAGAAACGAAGTGGGAATCGCAATTTGAAGTTGGCTGTTAGGGCTGAATTTTGACTGCGAAAACTGCTCTCTTTCTCTCTTTTTGACTACTAAAAAAACTCTCTATGTATATGAAAATAAAATAAGACCTAAATAGGCTTATATTTGCCTCATAAGAATGGGCCTATGGGCAAAAAATGGGTTGGTCCAAGTTGGGCTTTTATTTATCCACATAGGAAGGGAAAAAGGCCTATAACCCAACACTATTCATAATAAAACGTGTAATGTATGTATATATATATATATATATATATATATATATATATATATATATGTATGTATGTATATCTTATAATTTTTTGATTTGTATCACTAAGAAAAAGAGCTATGTTTGAAATGTGCATTGCAAATGTATTATGTCTATGTTATAAATGTGTTACTCAAATTATTTTAAGACAAGTTTAATACAATTATGAAACATGTCTAATACAATTTTTATGCATTTCCATACTGTTTCGTAAACTTCACATTTTTCAAGTTTTAGTCTAATATTTCTACTAAAATCAATTGTATAAACATAACCAAACCTTGTTAAATTTGAGATAGAAACTCCAAACGTCATTTTTAATTATTTGTAAGAACAACCTATCCAAACTATAAATTCGTAAAGTTCAAATAATGAATTCTAAATTTGAAGCTTTATAATGACCATCAATGGTGAACTCTTGCTGCTGTAATTTTAGAGATTTTAAATTTCTGCTTGAAAATATAATTTTATACAAGTTTTTGGTCATTTGTTCATCTACTCGTCATGATTCTGAAAAAAAATAGTGAAATATGGACAAAAATTAATTTGAGAAAAGTTATTTAAATGAAAGTTTCAATGGAAAGAAAAATAAAAAGAAGAAGAAGAAGAGGAGAAAGATAAAGAATGACAGAAGAGAAGAAGAAATAAAATAAAAAGAAGAAGAGGATGAAAATAAAAAATGGTACAAAAAGAGGTGAAGCGGTGGTACTTTTTTTTATTCCAAAAGATTGTTATAATCAGTTAGAAAAATTATATTGTCATAGATGGTAAATATTTTTTTGATATTTCGTATTTATGTAATTTACCCAATTTTAATCACTTGTTTTGGAATTTTTTGCAAAAAATTGTTAGTATGATAACTCAAAGGGAAAATGCACAAGTAGCCCCTCAATCTATGTCTGAAATCTCAGAGACACACTTATACTATGCAAAGGTCCTATTACCCCCTTAACTTATTTTATAAGTAATTTTCTACTCCTTTTCGGCCTACGTGGCTCTAGCTTGAAAAAAAAGTCAACCAGCATTGGGCCCACAAGATAGTACCACGTAAGCCAAAAAGGGGTAGAAAATTATTAATAAGATAAGTTCAGGGGGATAATAGGACCTTAGTATAGTATAAGTGTGTCTCTGAAATTCCCTGCATAGATTGAGGGGATACTTGTGCATTATCCCTAACTTAAATAAAGAAACAAGTATAATATCGTAAATAAAGTCAATGATAATTATATTGTGGATCATTTAAAGAAATTTGATTAAACTAATGAGATGACTATATGAAGGAAAATTAAATAATTTTCAAGGAGAAGCAAGAAGAAGTCAGACAAACTATAGTATTGGAAGCATGAGGCAGGAAGAACTCTGCTATAGCATATAAATATCACAATCAAAACCACTCATTTCGTTTTAACTATCGATCTTTTAAATTTAGTATATATATTTTCTTTTTTAATTAAGAGATAAGTGTCAAAAACATACCTAAACTATTCACTTTTTTTTAGTTGCATATCGAAACTATTGAGAGTGTGAATTTCATACTTAAACTATCACTTTTTAGTTTGAGAAACACACCTCACTGGTGCGTGTAATGCACTTTCTCTTTTATTTGAAAAAACCTTGACACATGACATTCCATATAGATGAAATATTATCTAGATAAAAATTCAATAATAAAATATTAATATTAATTAAAAATTAAAGATTAAAATTTTACGATTCATATAAAAAAATTAAATTATTTTTCTTACCCCACGCTACCACCTCCTCCACGTACCCCCTCCCCCCTCCCCACGACAACCCCCATCCTTTTTTTAAAAAAAAATTATTTGTAAAATATTTTTAAAATTTTATACTTCATCCTCCCTCCCCCCTCCAGAAAAAGCACTCATTTATCCCCAAATAGAAATTGATATTATTTTATTTTAAAAAATAAAAATTTACCCCATCCTATTTAATCATTCACTCCTGATTTTTATTATTTTTTATATTTTTCTTTGTGTTAGACATACACGTACATATATTTTTAGAAAAAAAATTCACTAGTGTACCGAATATAACATAAATAATTAAATAATTTAATAGTCTTGTGGCGACAAGTAAAAATATTTTCGATATGTATATCTAAACATTGAAATAAAATTGAAAGCAGAGGATTAAGTGGAATGGGTAGAATTATTTTTTTCCAGAAAATAAAATATTATCTAAATTAGTATTTGAGGAGGGGGAGGAGATGAAGTAAAAAAATGAAATACTTTTATAAAAGAAATTTAAACAAAAGAAAAAACTAAAAAAAATAGTGCGGGTTGGGGTTGGGGGGTGAAAGTAAGTGATGACGTGGGTAAGAAAAATATTTTACATTTATTTTATAAAGAAAATATTATTTTTTAATAATATTTTTTAAATTTTTAATTTTAACTAAGACTAATAATTTATTTATTTATTATCAAGATTAGATGTTTTGTTGATGTGGAGTGTGATGTGGAAATTCCTTAAAATAAAAGAGAGAGTGTATCACACATACCATGATGAGAGTGATATAAAAGAGAAAGGGGTGTTTCTCAAATTAAAAATTGATAGTTTAGGTTTGAAACTCAAACTTTCAATAGTTTAAATATAAAACTCAAAAAATATGTATAATCTAAATGTGTTTTTGACACTTATCTCTTAAGTAAACACAGAACATAATGAAAGTATAATGACAACAACGAAAAGTAAATTCCTACTAAGGTCATTCAACTATATGATACAATTTCTTCTTCTTTGTAATAGTGAAAAAACTACAAAACCAAGCGTATAGCACTTAGAAGGCCCCTCAATCATCCAAATATCAATTTTATATTCTCACCCAAATCACTTAAAAGTACGCGTTTGGCCATTTAATATCATATCATGATATGAAATTATGGAATAAAATCAGTATTTGGACATGTAATTTCACGCTGGATACACCTCATAAGGTGGAATCTCATATTCTCCAAAAATCATGATTTTGGAATTTCATATCATGATGTTTGGGATTTTTTATATATAAAAATTACCACACAAGTTAATATTTTGTTAAAATAACTCCACAATTAGATCTAATAATCATTTGTTTAAAATATAAATAAAATTTATGATCATATCATTACCTTTTAAAAATTATTATTCTCACTAACATAAAATTTATTATGACTTTAAAATAATTCTTACTTTATCATTTATATTCATCAAAATTCATTATCTTTTTATCAAATTTATTTATCAACCAAATTAATTAGTATTACTTTATCATTTATATTCATTAAATTCATTATTTTTTTGATCAAATTTATTTATCAATCAAATTAATTATTTTGATAAAAAAATATTTTTCCATCTATATTGAATGAAGAAGATGGACTATCCTAGTTGTGTAATAATTTATTGTATAATTTTATAGATTTTTATTTATTCGGTAAGACTAAATGAACAATTGAAATTATAAAGGATACACAAACTCCAAATGACATGTTAAAAATAATTTAAATCAAAGGGGCCTAAAAGTCAAATATTCACCAAAATCAAGATTTCTTGCATTATAAAGGGATCAACCCAACTGAATTTTTTGGAGGATGAATAGTTAATTCTTAAAATTATTGTGTTAAAAAATGGAATCAAGAATTTTGTTACATGATAAAGGGCTGCAACATACTGTAGTTGCAGAGATATACTTAAATATGTACTCAAAGGTAAGAAAAGAATAAGAATATTAATCAAAAGAGGAAAAGTTTATCAACTTGGATGGCATTACTTTCATCACCATAGTTAGCTTGCGAATTAATTTTGCAGTATTCATCTTTGAACACTCCCTCTACAAATAACTCCACATCAATTTCCTTATTCCCTTTTACCTCATCATATGGCGCTGGAATAGACGGTGGCCTTGGAAGTTGGACAATCAAATTCCAGTCCATGGATTTGAAAAAATCGTGGCCTTTGATTTCATCCACGGAAATCCTCTGCTTCGGATCCTTTTCCAGTAACTTGTTTATCAAGTCTCTTAATGACGTCGCCTCACCTACTAAATCTGGCGATTTCGAAAGTATACGATAATATGTTTCCTTTCGATTTGAGCCCCTAAACGGCGTCGTTCCGTACAGCATCTCGTACAATACTACTCCTAAACACCACCAGTCGACTGAGAAATCATGGCCGTTACCTAAAATGATCTCCGGAGACAAATACTCCTCCGTTCCGACGAATGAATTTGATTTCTCGATCGGATCGAATTCGACAGGAGCGAGTCGAGCTGAGTGAATTGAATCGTCTGGAGAGATTTCCGAGTTGCGAAATTTGTTGAACCGGTTTTTCTTTTTGCTCTTCGACGCGGTTTGTACCGATAGTTTAGCTGTTTCTATTTGCGGGGATTGTGGAGTAGATTTATGTGCAAGTTTTGTAGAGAGATCGAAATCGATTAACATTATATGTCCGTTCTCTTGAATCATCACGTTTTCAGGCTTTAAATCTCTGTATACAATCCCTGATCCATGTAGATGCTCCAATGCCAACACTAACTCCGCCGCGTAGAATCTGATGAACAAGACAACAGTTCAATCTATTGTTTAAGAATAACAGTATTGCAATGTGCAGAATGAGTGATCGATTGATTACCTTATAGTATCGTCTGAGAACATCTTTTCAGTTTGTTTTTTCCGGAGAGAATTGAGATCACCACCAGGACAGTAATCAATGGCATATCCAACAATCTTATCCGTGGATACAACTCCTTTGAGTTTAGGCAGAAGCGGATGCTGAAATGAATTGAGTAGGTCACGCTCGAGGTAAATTCTTCTGTATTCACTGTTGTTCGTACTGGCTTTGTTCTTCTTAATTGAATCCCTCAAAATAGTTTTGAGAGCAAGCAACTCACCGTCTTCCCTCTGAACCAAAAATACCACTCCTTTAGCTCCACGGCCAAGGGCGGAAATTACCTTCAAACTCCGCAGTTGTATCGACTCAATCTCTGTTTTTTCAAGGTTATTCATGGCGGAAGATGACCGCAACAATATGGTTGATGCACAAATCCTGCTATGCTAAACTTGTACTTGTTCTTATAATATTAATTAATTAAATAATAGTATATGGTTTAAAATGTTAATTGGAGAATATTTCTGAATTGGGGAGACTCGATTTAGTTTGTAGAACAACATACATGACTTGTTCGTCTACTGCGGGCTTTTATAGGGTGACACTTCTGAGGTATTATCAATTATTAAAAAATTAAAACAGGTCCCCTCTCTTTTTTCCTTGCGGGAGAAGATTAGCAATGGCACTGATGATTTTTCTATTTCAAATTATTATCATATTCTTTGACTCCCTCTGTTTCATACCCTTTTTGTTAAATTAGATTAATATTAATTTGATATTTTATAAATAAAATTTAAATATTTTAAAATTATAGAGAATTGCTATAGTGGTATCCTTTTTCATATTGATGAAAAAATTATATTTTAAAATGTAGTTAAATTTCGTATTGTTTGATTTTGAAAAAAAAATTTAATAACTCAAAAGAACGAAGAAAATATTAACTAAGTTGGTCAAATCTTTTTTAATATATTAAAGTAAATGAATTATATAAAAGTCAAGAGAATTGGTATTAAAACTTCAATTTTATAATAGATTTTTAATTACCTTATATTTTTTTTAATATAATAGTATAAAATTCGAAAGAATAATAATATAAAATAATTATATATATATATATATATATATATATATATATATATATATATCAAATGTCAATCGTTCACTTAATATAGACTAGAGAAAATAAATTGATTTTAATAAAATAAAATATCGAATAAAATTTTAAATATTTAGCAGTTTTTTAATACAATAATTTATCAATTGGATGAATCACATTACAGATTTTATATTCTTTTACCAATGTCAAAGGGAAGTTATTATTTTAATGTAATTGAAAAAGTTGAGGTAATGGATGTATTTGCTATGGTCAAAGACTTCGGGCGCAAGTTCTAATATGGTGTGGTATTCTAGAAGCTCATGTCACGGACTTTCCTGACCCTTAACCGAATGACTATCTTGCATAAATGAATTATGTTTAAGGGGTTCTTACGTAAATATATTATTGATGAAAATAATAATAATAATAAAATAATCATATATATAAAATAAATTTTGAAGTGATAAAAAATAATTTGTGATTACTAATAAAATATAAAGAAACATAATTGATAAATCTTGTGAGTGCAAATTTATTTATCCCTTGAAATTTTCTCTCCTAGATTTCTCTGTGATTCGAAAGTTGTTAGTGATGTTTTTCTTTTTGAATATTCTATGAATTTATGATTTTTTTGAGATGTTTCTTCCAAGGAATATATTACTCTTTATACATGTATGTGCTAGCTTTTTGGATAGAGACATAGAGTAGCCTCCACGAATTTTGATTGAAATCGAACTCATCTTGTATTACAAAAATTTGACGTCCTAACTAGAATTGAATATGTTTTGTAGAGTCACAAAATTTCTATGTTAACAAATTTTAATCAAATGGAAAAATAAATTGCAATCACAAAAAAAATATGAAGAAACATAATTATATTGATAAACAAAGCGGGTGCAATTTTGTTTTTCTTTTGATTCTTCTCTCTTGTATTTTTTCTTGATTTAAGGGTCCTTAATGATGCATTTCTTGAATTAGGTTAACTTAGACTTTATCTCAAGAAAGGGATTTGTAGATTTTCTTAAAGTATTTGATTATTGAGAATAGTTTGAATATTTTGATCTCTTATTAATATCCGAAGAGTTCTATAGATATTTGAGATCTTGATTTTATGATATTCAAGCGTTTATGATATATTCAAGATTTTAATCTTTGTGGACACACAAGAGCTCAAGGTATATTCGAAATGATATTTTAAGGAAGTATATTACTTCTTATATACATGAGCTAGAATTTACGCTAGAGTAGCCTCCACGAATTTTAATTGGAATTGAACACATCTTGTAGAATCTCCATTGAAATTAAACACATCTTGTAGAGTCCAACAAAATTTTGATTTCTACAAACCCCTCTTACTTGAAAACTTGTCGGAGTCTAGACTTGATGAAACTCAAAGACGAGACTTAAGTATGGAGCTCCCACTTTTATGATTTTGTAGCTTTATATTTGCAAATTTGATTTTCTAGAGATGATGAAGAGGGAATTTGATCTCATAGGCATGCCAATTTATTTGCAAAAAATTTTAATATGATGAAAATTTAATTGCAATCATAAATCCAATATGAAGAAACATATATGCGTTGATAAACAATGGTACAATTTTCTCCTTTGATTCTTCTCCCTTAAGATTTGTTCGTTATCTTATGATCGTTAGTGATGTATTTCTCGAATGGAAGATTTGTACTTGATCCCCATAAAATGATTTGTGGATTTCTTGAATTACTTGAGTATTAAGAAGAGTTTGGTATACTTTGATATGTTTATAAATATCTTAGGAGTTTTCTTGATATTCGAAATCTTGCTCTTTATGAATACCATTAAGGAATATTCAAGATCCTAATCTTTATGAATACCGAAGAGTTTATGGGATACTTAAGATGTCTTTTCAAGAAAATATACTACTTTTTATATAGGCATGAATAAGGTTGAGTCAGGGGTGACTCGATAGTGTTTAAGAAAAACATGTGCCTTAGACCCCTAAATTTAAACGATCTCATTTTTAATAATAATAGGTTATAAGTTATTATTTTTAACAAATATTGAATACTATTTGTAGAAAAAATAATTTTTTCATGAAAAATGAAGAAATTATTAATTTTTTTTGACATATTTAGAGTACTATATCTCATGAAAAATAATGTAAATAAGAATGACTATATATCAATTGAAAACTAGAAGAAATCAATGATATAAAAGTTATTAAAAATTCAAGTTTAAGACCCGTTTGATTTTTGCTTTAGGCCACTAATATATTAGAGCCGTTCTTGGGTTGAGTAGCCTCCAATAACTCTAATTGAAATTGAACACGTCTCGCAGAGTCCACATTAAAACTGAACATGTCTTTGCCTGCATTACGGACGTGTAGCCGATTGGTCATTTTTTTAATGATAAATAGTAATTGAGTTATTTTGATTATTAAATTCCCACGCAATAGATATTTCGTCCAATTACCTCTATTTAAAAAAGGAACAAAATTTGATATACTTTCCAATTTCGTGAATTAGAGTTGGTATATTTCTCATAAATAAAGTGGATAAACATATGTTTCTATTGTTATGAATCAAATATACTACTTTTGGTTGACAAAAATAAAAAAATAATTTTAAATTGTTTTTCTGATTTTTAAAGTTAATCTCAATAAAATTCATTTGGAGCTATATTTGATGCTTCGTGCAAACTTTACAGGTACTTTTTTTAAATCAAGATCATGTGTTCCCATTATTATTAATTGGAATGGATTTTAAACTAGTTTACTTTCCAAAAGAGTTAATACAAGACAAAATAAAGAGGACATCCCGAGAGAAAGTTCTCTATGCTATGCTCCGAGAATTGAAATCGGCTAACCCTCTCTGATATCGATGTATCTTGAGCTTGTTCAATAAAACAACCATCAATCTTCAATGTTGCTCCTAATTTTCACGAAGTCAATCTTCGTTAGATTTCACTTTGGACATTCACAAATGACAAATCTCACAAATGCCATGATATCAATACCATCAAAGCCTTCTTAAGCTCAAATAACCAAATCTAAGAGAAACAAAGTGAAAATTCTTGCTAATTTTCCAAAACTAACTAGCAAACCTATTCAAATTGGTTAACCCTGAGAAAATTAAGGTATGTTAGACCAAATTTCTTAATCCTTTGTTAAAGCTCAAGAATTTTCTAATAGATTATTTGGCTACCCGTTACCCTTATTTCTCAACAAGTTGAGCATAACAAGAGACAGTTAAGAATAACTTCTATAACCTGTAAGTAGACAAATTCCTTTGCTTCTTTTATCAAAACTAAATGAATTTTTATGTTTTTAGTACTTGTAACACCTCAAAAGTGTAAAAGCTAGATTAAAAGTGGAGAAGTGCAAAATATTTGCTACTGCACTGGTCCACGAGTTTATGTATGAGCCATACATAGTTCCACAGATCGTGGGTGTCTAGTCAGTCATGGTTGGTGATTGAAAAAATGGGAAAATGGAAGATCTCTTAACTCCTTTCTATTATAATAGATGTTACCTTTTTTAGGAGTCTTATTAGTTTCCTGTATTTCAGTCATATGATGATATCCCTAGTTAGTCATCTTTACTCTTTAGGATTTTAATTGTTTGCTGTAATCTAGGTTTCTGTTGGTATTGTACTTTATCAGTTTGTACTGGCTCTATTCAAAAAGAAGGTTGTACGTGAATAAAAGTAACGCTCTTCTCTATCTCATACCCTTTACATGGTATCAAGAGATTTTCTTCTCCTCACAGACTTCTAAGTTCCTAATCAACCATCCACCACCAATGGCACCCTCTGTAACCAATTCTAATGCAACTATCATTACCACCATTGTTTAATTCAACACAGTTACCCAACTTCCAATTACACTTGCCCATAACTTCTCACTGTGGAAAGCCTTACTGTCCATGCTGATGAGAGGGAACAATCTTTATGGTCATCTAGATGGGACTATCCCTGAACCTGCCACCACCACTAACAACCTGACAATTTCCAGCCTCGATTATGTTAATTGGTTTTGTCAGGACCAATTAATCCATAACACAATCTAAGCATCATTAGATCACACTCTTGCTGCTATTGTACCTGCTCCAACCACAACCAAAGAAGCCTGGGTTCCCTCTATACGACTTATGCCTATTAGTCACAAACTCACATATTTAGCTTGCAAGATCTCCTCGCTCATCTCACGAGAAAGAGAGTCAACTTGTAGCAGACCATCTGTACCAAGTTTGATCACTCTGTGATGATCTTGCAACTATATGAGCTCTTGTCATCAATCTCAGACTCATTGTCAAGATTCTCACTGGTCTTGGACCAGAATATCGCAGAATCTTTGCATCAATTCGAGCACGTGACACTCTAATTTCATATGTTGAACTGTTTGAAAAGCTTAGCTATCACAAGCTTTTCCTGAAATACAATACTTCACTGTTATCCACTATAATTTCTATCGCTTCTTAAAAGTCTAGCTCTCAAACGGGGATCACCACC